GTTTAATCCTCTCATAACTAATTATTTGCACCGAACACTACGCTTTATTCCTGAATAAACCTCACTACAGCGATAATATATTTGTCATCATTATTTTAATATGGATAGGCGAATATTCGGTTGTTTCAAATAGCCCATCGAATTCTGTTCTATTCAGCGTTCGCTTCAAATCGAATTTTATTATGCGACAATATCGAATTATTCAACAATATAAAAAAAATTCAATCTTTCCGATTACTCTTGCTTGGATTTCCGGCCAGGTGGCGCTAGCTTCCAACCATTTCGACCACTTCGTGCTCCCAAACTCAGTACACTTGAAATTAAAAAATACAGTACATCAAATGCCAAATAAGGGCAAATATGAAACTATAGTTTAAACATATATTGTGGTATTTGTTGCTTGTACTATTCGAACTATTCGATTCGAAATATTCCGTCCAAAATCACTATTGCTTCGAATTTGGTTCGGGCCCAAAATCCTCTATTCACCTATGCCAACAAATTAAAGTTGCAAACACCTTGTTTAATTTTTTTTTTTTTTAATGAGCGTCGTCGATTTTGTGCTAAGCTAGTTTTTATGGGTAATTTAGACACACACACGTTAAGCAGGGTTCATGGCTCTTCAAACCTGAATTTACCATTCCCTACCTAAAGAATAAATGCACAGTGTAATGTGCTAGTTGCATGGGGAGCTATACTTAAAGAGAAAACGAATATCTACAAAGACGAGTCAGCGGCTCTTGCGCAGAAATAAATCACACTTCAAACGTTTGTTTAAAAATATTATTAAGAGGAATTAAAAAAAAAATATATATTTTCGCACCGAACTACGTTTGCCGAAAACAATCAAATTGAAAATATAATATTCAATCCTAATTGCAGCTTCATTTCCTTAACCTGCCGATTAACAAGACATCAATGTATGTAGGAAATTACAGATGCGAAACCTCGTGATGCGATTGGTGATGATGACCTGAAGTCACACTTGTTGGCCCCTGAATGCCTTTAGTAAGAAACCTAAGTACTTCAAGGTCGTAGCATAGCCTCTTATAAACTGACAAATCCAGCAGAACGCCACGAGAAGCAGCCGCCGAAACGGAAAAGGTGGAGCGGCAGACAACGAGTCAAAGGAGAACCACGTGACTGCCACCCTGCTGCTGCGAAACGCCAAAAGACACTTCTCCTGAGCGAACAGGTTTGTTTGGGGTCCTCGCCGCTGCAAAAGCTTTGCGCTGACGTCCAAGTTTCCCGAGAGATGGCTCTTTGATGATCTGTGCTACAAGATCCTCCGGCTCCAAATCTGCCACCGGGAACTTTATGTCTCCGTCGCCGAGCTGCCAGCCTTTTTGAGTATAGAAGAGGCTATGATTGTACACGCAATCAACCCCTCAATTAGGGTGACCACCGTCGAAATCCTAGATTGGCATTATATCTTTCATACCTTTTCTTGACAATATACCTTTTATCTATCCCGCCAGACAATTTCAATGAACCAGCAGCATTTGTGGTGAGGCTTCAAAACTAAAAACTTAATTGTCTACCGCATTATTTCATGAAAACATCCCTCCGTAAATAAAAGAAACAAAATGTGATTGCTAAGTTTTATGCATGCATTTCAAATAATCTGTGGCATGCGTTTAGAGATGTTATCGATTTTAGGCCCAGCAAAACTTCTTTGAACGGAAAATGTTCTTATAAAGCTCTCTGCCAGCGCGATTTCGGATTCGCTTATTCAAACTAGACACGCCGAAAATAACAGTTGCTGACTCTAAGCCCGAAATGGCGGCGATGTCGACCGGTACTTTACGTTATTAAGTGATTTGATAAGCAGTATAAAATAAACAAAAAAAAACAAAAAAAACGTTAAGCTGGTGTGACTTCCGGAGGTATACTGAAGCCATGCACTGCAACGCGCTTTTATTTTACGACTCTCTGAGCCGATAACCGCGCGACTCCGTCCTTTTTTTTTTCTAGAGGGCTAACGTGTTCCTTATCGGGCAAGACCCGCGGCCACTTCCAAAGAACGGTTGCACAGGGCGTCAAGGGTCAAAACAAGCTTATTCGCTCATAAACCGTATTTGTTTTCTTTTCTTTTACGTTGTGAGTCGTTAAAAGAAACTCTAGATTCATTGAAATGTCCACAAAAGTAAGCTCTTTCCAGTGCTCACAACTTACCCAGGCTTTTTCAGGAAAAGCCGAAGAGATTTATACGGATGAGTTACAATCGTGTACGGGCCGTCATCCTTCTAGTAAAGTGCGGCCGTAAGCGGAGATGTCAGGAAAGATATCTGTTGTCTTTCACCGGCGTGGTCGTCAATCCCCCTGCAGGTGTCTCACTCGACGCGCCACACAAACATTAGTTTGGTAATTCATTCACAATGTTGTTGTTTGCCCGAGTCTTTTAGAATGTAAAAATAATAAATACGCAGTGGTGACTTGCACAAAGGATCAAATTCATATCATGCGTGTCTTTTTCGCGTAGTTCGACAGTGGCCTATTGGTGTTTACTGGTAAGTTACATATTTCGATGTCCATTGCCAGCATGCCTTTCTGTAAACAGAAAAGAGTAATTTTTTTTATTCTCCGCGATGATAGGACGGACAACGAAAGAGTGTAACGCAGGAATAATCCAGTATCTCTTGGCATCATACAATATGATATTTAAAATATACATTTCGTTTATTTCATCTTATCTTTTACTTATCTTATCTTTCTTTATTTTATCTACCTTATTTTATCTTAGTTTTTATTATTCTTTTTATTTCAGCGCTAAAATTTTAATCGATGATATATCATATTTGATCATATATTTTTTCAAACTTAACTAAGTTAATTTAATAAAAAACATCTTCGCCTTTAATTTAAGGTATTAAACTAGAATTTCGTCTCCTCTAAGGCATTTTTTATATGCAGCGTTTTGTACTTTCTATGCAGGCATTCTTTTGGTTAACTTTTTATTGTAAATAATTTTGCTTAATCAACAAATTATATTGCAGTTTTCTACGCTTCCAATAGAGCCACGGATGACTACACTGTCCCTGATTATTCTAGCGCAAGACATATGTATATCTAATTACATATAATTGTGAATATCATTCTTCTGATCGTCATGACTGATATGACTTGTCCCCCATATATTTTGTACAATTACATTATAACGAAGACAGCGCTGGCGTGCAGATGTAGTAATAACCTTGTGTCAATTACTGCATGTCGTTCTGTGCCGAACGCGCCAACGAAAACTGTCAACTACTCGTGATACTCGAAACCTTTCCGAAATACCCACGAAATGTTTAAACCTCTTATTGTCATATTTTTCTATTGCATTAATTAAACGTGAACGGCATCTTTTAGAATATTTTGGAAGCATGGTTTGACTATTTTGTTTAAATCTCGTGATTCTTCAGCCGAATTTGCTAAGGGTCCATGATCAAAGTAATCTTTAGAACAGTTTCATTATAAATGTGTATTTAAAAAAAAGTGTAGTAAAATATGTTTTTTTATATTATTTTAATAACCTTTCACTACGCGATGTTAAATAAGTCTACAAGCAACATAATGGTTTGTAGTTAGTACATGACAAATAATTTTTGACATAATCAAATCAAATCAAACCAGTTTATTTTCACCTTGTACAAAGATGAAGGAGCTGTGGAAAAACGCTGCAGCATTGCAGCTTCTTTCCCCCTTTCACACAAGTGTACGAATTACGTTAGGATGTACATACCAAATATGTTGCATATTTAGGTGTCTTGAACTATAGATCTTACAGCAGCGCCGTCAACCATAGTTTGATTGCGTACAGCCCCAAAAAAGCGCGAGAGCGGTGTCGTATTTTTTTTTTCGCTTTTAACATAAACGTAAAATTTCCTATAGAATGCGAAGTACACAATACTCCTAACGGAAAAGCAAAATATAGCGGCGATAGCCGTGTGTCATTGAACTGCATATGCTAATAGGGGCATTGTATTAGAAACAGGAATCCGGTACTTTGAAGTCGACTGTGTGTGCCGTCCCCGAAATAATCATACTTACAAAAACTGAATGTGAATAGAAAAGTTTCCTGGACAGACCTTCAGATATGACAGTGCATTAACATTAACATAACTTATTTTATGTGAGCTCCATGAACTCAAAATTTTATTTCTGGTTCTGTCTTATCGTTTCAGTTGTCAGATGCTCCCGGGCAGGAGGAGTTCGGCTAACAGCAAGGCCGGCTGAACAGAGCCCCATTTTGCAGATTTGAATTTCACTAATATTTCAAACGGTGAACATCACGATATCTACATCGTCTTGGAATATGCATATTATACCGTCTGTATAACTTTCGCTCAATGTGTAAAAAATCAACTCCATCGGCGAATTTCAGTTAGTTAACCACATAAGTATCGCTTTCATAAGTCGCCAAGACGCCTGCACGTTTGCTCACCTCGTTAAAATAGCAAGTTCGCCATTTAGACCAAAAAAATCGAGATGCGGCGATACTCATTGAGAACCGTAAAACATATATCTAGTCTTTATTTAGTGTGAAGTAGACTACAGTGTTTTAAACTAAGGAAAACTAAAACACATTTACTTGACTGAATGAGTCTTCCTTGATATCGAATATATTCAGCACATTGGCTTATTCTCAACAGCAGATTCGTTAAAAAAGCTTTGCTTCGAACTATATAGCTTCAAATGAATGCTTGTCTTAATGAAAGTTTTTGCAAGATGGCCAAACCCCGTAAGCAGCCATATGTTCACACCAATGGATGTCCGCACGATGGTGCGGGCATCCATTGGTGTGAACATATGGATACCCAAGCTGCAGGTTGGGTGTCCACGAAACAATCCTCGGAACAGGCTATATTTCACCTCGACTAACCTAGTTGCTTGAAGGCATGAAAACGTAAAGGATTTCTATACATTTTAGTAAAAACGGCTTTGAGGCCCCCAAGGGCGCAGAAGATATATCAAACGTAGTTTAGTAAATAAATCAGTCAAACGAGGCTACTCACACATTATAAGAAGCTCCTTGGATGTGGACACGGGGCTCCAGCCGGCGTCGTTCTTGGCCTGGCAGGTGTAGTTACCTGCGGTGATCCTCTCCAGCTTCTCGAGAAGGACGTCGGACTCCTTGGTCTCATTGACGAGAACAGCCTCGCGGAACCAGCGCACTTTGGTGAGGTGGCGAGGGTTGCCAGACTCCGCCTCGCATCGAAGCAGCACGGGGCCGTCGTCCATTGCAACTACCGCCGGATTGATCCACACAGTGACCAACGGCGTATCTGCGCGAAATGAATGAAAATGTCTGACGAGCTTGTAAGTAGTGATGTGCCGTACGTACTGGATTCCCCCGCTGCCTTTCGTAAACTGTGCACGTGTATAAATATGCTACATGAAAAATCTGAATTACGCACATGTGTTCTGGGAACATAGTAAGGTCCACGGTTTGAATAATTATGAAGTTTTCAATAACGTAATAACTGGAAAATCATATCCCGATAATAAGGAGAACGCTCGTGCTAGCAGATAGAAAATATTCACACCTGTCATAATTTGTCAAATATTTAAAAACACATGTGAATATGGAACTTAAGTGTAACCACTGGGTGATAACGAAGTCATTTAACAGTGCAGTTTTTAACCTTTCAAAATGTAATCATGAAACATATAGAGTGGCGCAGTTAATAATATAATTAAACCACTCCTACTGAAATGGCCGGCCCTACCCCAGGCTAAAGCTGCGGTACTGACAGAATCTAAAGAATTACCTACAGTACAGGTATCATTCGTAAACATTTCTTAACCAGGTAATCTGGCTTTTCAACTTTCCCGGGTTACAATGAAAGCATGGCAACTAGAAGAAGTCATATTTAAGGAAAATTAGTGAACTCATTGCATAAGCATTAACCGAGGGAACAGAAATGTATTTAAAATAATGCCCTCAAATATTAAAAAAGTGGCTTTCAGCTGCAGTTACTGTGTCAAAAAAAAAAAAAAAACAACTGGGCTACTTCTGTTAACAATTGTGTCTTGTTTCATCTTGAGTCTGCGATAAAATAAAACGTTACTAAATGTATCACCCAGCTAAGAAAGAGACAACAAGAGGGAAGCATGCTTCTGATAGAGTTGCGAACGCAGTGACGGTAATGCAAACGCCGCTCACAAAACACGTCAATGTAGACGGCATTGCTGGAGTTTCCCCTCCCGAAGGCGTTCTTCACGTGGCAGCTGTAGACGCCCGCGTCGCTGCGGCTGGCGTTGCGAATGTTGAGCAGTGTCCTCGGATGCAGCGCCGCCCGGTGGCTCTTCCGCGAAGGCAGCATCTCGCCGTTCTTGTACCACACGACCTCCGTCACGTTGGGGGGATTGGCATTATAATGGCACGTCAGATTGCACGAGTGCCACTCGGTCACGTTGACACCTTCCGCCGGAAGCACTTTGACTGCCGGGGGGTCTGCGGAGAGCGGAAGGAAGGGGGGGGGGGGGGTGTAAGCGCGTGTGAAATATTTGACGTGTAATGCTTCCTGAAACCTACACAAACGGACCTCTCGACGGACATCATGCGGGGATTCCTGCGTCGTAAATTGAGTTGACAAGTTTCCTGGTCAGCTTTCTGTGCCTCGATCTCTGGTCGAATCTGCGTGCTTGCTTTGCAGAACAATATGCATCTGACGAAATTTGAAAAAAAAAAAATATATATATATATATATATATATGCTCCCTAAAAGCCTAAGAAAGGCAGGTAGCAGTGAGCTGCGGGCCTCGTAGTATCGCTCCGCAGTTCACAAGATAAAGGCATGAGCCAATAAAAGTGCCGGAGGAGGAGTCACGAGGCAAGCAGCGTCAACAAACAAATAACTCCCGGTGATTCATAAATTGTCAATATCTATACATGAAACAAAACAAAAAAAAATCTGGCGGTGAACTTTGATTAAATATCTATGTGTCAACTGTCAACTAAAATTACTCCTAGTCATCTTTGAATTTGTATCAGAAATTTATGTTTTCGTCAGTTACACCTAAGCGGATTCGCATATATGTTTCATTAGAAATTAAGTATACTCGTAGGAAAACAAAACAAATCAGTTAGAATAGAACAAGTGAAAATATATTTTCGTGTCATATTTTTTTATTACATCAATTTAATTAAAATTTTATATGATATTTCTTGTACGTGAAAGGAAGTCGGCTGCTTATTCGAAGTAAACGTATTCTTTACAATATTATGCGATGTTGTGGCGGGTATATGCGGCAACAAGAAAGCTGAAATCAATCAAATTTTCAGGAGCTTTTTTTTCAGACATAGCACAGCCCCGACACCGAGATTGTGGGTATGCGAACGACTAAAAATACAAGAGGTTCAGAAGATGTTTGTATGCCTAATTTTCACCAGCTCATTCGGGCTCTGACTTTCTGTTCGATAATTTTTATCGCTTCCCACCTAATGTATGTATTTCAGGTTTTTCGCTATCTCAGAAATGTCACACATTATAAGCAATGCCTACTAGCCAAATTTACCACTCAGTACGCATTGGGCTACTCCAAGCGATATGTGGGGCGCATAAGAAAACCTGGAAGCCAAAAATAACTGTATGGTAAAAAAACTTTTTTTTTTATTTTTTTCGCTTTTCGCTTTTTCACCTTTCCTGTGGATTCCGCGCTTGGCAGTTGAAACCCTTCGTTACGTACCATCGTTTTAAAAACCGGGTGACTCATCAAGGCCCGCGATAATGCAATCCTTGGTTTGTGCCCATACATAATATCATTAAAAAGCAAGCTGATTTTGCACGGATTACATTAAAGGGGCTTAAGTGTGGAGTACATGGGGCTCTTCTAAGAAAGGTTATATTCCTGGAAACAAGTACTCAAACTAGGTAGCATGGCACTTGATTATGGGCGAGTGTCCTTCCAAGTATTGATAAGATAGCAGGCGAAGAAAAAAAATTTCCATCTCGACGGCCGCTTTATTATCCAGTTTCAGTTCCGAGGAAAATTCATAGCCAGGTTCAAATGCTTTTCAATCTTGACTCTCAGCCCAGCAAAGCTTCAACGTGCAAGTAACAAGGCCCTTTGAGTTATATTCTATTTTCTTCACCCGTCGACGGTGGAATTTAATTTTAAGATCCTCATTCCGCTCCACCCATCGTTGACTTTTCCCCTCCCTTCATTCTTCGGGAAACCCTGGGACGCTTCATTTTTCTTGGCGTCCCTGCTCTTTTAGGCGAGTTTTTGTTTTGATATTACTAGTGAAATTCTAAGGCTTCTCTAATTTGAAAATTCTGGAGCCTGCTCAGCCGTCGTGGTTTATCAAGAAGATCCCAAGAAAGTAAACCTTAGAAAAATGCTGATCCAGCCTCGGTTCACGCGGGCAAAGAGAAAAACAAAAATGCTCGGTAACTATTTGTAGCATGATAACACTAGAACAGGCAGGACAATATAAATACAACAATATTTATAACGCGCAATATATTGCAATCACTCATACGTATTTCATAATGCACAATATATCGCAATTGCTAAAAGGAATCGAATTAGGTTCCGGTGGTCTCTAGTATACCATTTTCTTTTATTCAGCCTGGGTTGATATCGCGATCTATATATATGAATACCACTGTGACACAGAGGTCAGTGAAGGTATGATTGCATTGGAGATTGCGGCGACCAAATTTAGATCAGGAATTGAGGGGCTTAGGGCAGGCTCCACTATGCAATTTAAGGAGGCGGAAAGTTTATGACTTCAGAATGGATGAGCCAAAGAGATGTATTAATTCACGTTTCTTGAAGGTATTGTTTTTTTACTTGTTATACCTGAGACCATTCTAACTGACAAATGTATGATACCCTAGAAGAGGACGAAACATCTAATAACCAATATGTGGAACTCGGGCAGATCTTCAAGAAACAGTGGTCCCAAACTTCAACGCCACGTCAATTCAACCACCGAAATCATAGCGACTTCTGAACTTGACTCAGCCAGCCAAAGGTCGTTATCGTAAAATGTTTCGCGCTAAAAAAAAAAGTTTATACAGCGTCATCGCACGCTAGGCTGCGAAACATAATACAGGATAAAATTAAGAAGTCCACGGAAAATATATATTCTGAAAACATTGACTCGTACGCCTTATCCTCTTTGAACGGACTTATAAATAAACAGATCAACGAATGAAAGACAGGTAATTTCAGTTCACTACTATAAGAAATTGATACCTTAGTTCCAATAATTTTCAAGTACTATTAGTTTTTCGCTTTGATATTAGATCAAGCACTTTAAATAAAACACACAAATATATATATATATATATATATATATATATATATATATATATATATATATATATATATATATATATATATATATATATATATATATATATGACTTTTTATTTTTGTAAGACGAAGGCAAAAATGTAACAACTAGTACGCCTTCCGAGGAAGAAAGACAACATTGTTTCTGTATCGTTTTCCGTTTCTAGATCCGGAGGCCAAAAATGCGTGTGTTGCAATGTGGACACACACACACACACACAAAAAAAAAAAAACACCTTAGCAGCGATCCGAAAGTTCTTCCCCTTACTGTAATGAATTACGTCGTTAATCCCTAGATAAGGAGCCGTCGCTGTTTTCTCGACTTGCCTGTTCTGGGTATTCTCCAGCCTTTTCTCGGAAAAACGCTTTCACTGCTGCTGTTTTTTCTTTCTTTTTTTTATTTCAGGTAGGTGGTTCCGAATGCGCGGTTATATACTTTATTTTTACTTCCTGTCGTAGTCATGAAAACATCGTCCATGTTTGAAACTATGCTCGTCCTCCTTTTTGTTTGCATTTTATATAAGTTTTTCTGCACTGTTTTTATCGTCCACTCCAAAAAAGCATCGACTGATGATCGCAAAAAACCTTTGACAGTTTCTCATTTTTAATTGCACCTGATTAAGCAAGTACCATGCTTGCAGACACATTTGAATTATTGAGGAGTCTCACAAGAGCAAGGTGGGCAGTTCTATTTTTAGCCTCCACTGACAAGGTACACCCGTGTGCGATATGAAGGTGAACATCTCCCTTCTTGTCTTTTGACGCTCCTGCGAGTTTTGAAACAAGTTCTCTTCCAGAAGAAGGCTAGAACGCAAAGTTTAGACCCGAAGCCACGAACCATTTCAGACGTTGAGAGTTAATATAGCTTTAGGGCGCCATAAAACAGGCAAGAAACCAGGTAAGGTGTTCTTCTTCATATTGCCGGCGGATGTACATGTATAGGCTATCTGGTCAAAAGCGAGTGAAGCAGAGTCGTTGAGCATGAAGAAGATCAAGCAAAAACAAAGGAGACAATTATAGAACGAACGAGGTTAAGTACGAAAAGTATGTAAGCGATTTGGCGAGCGACAAGACAAGCGTCGGCGACCCGCTTCGCTGTCGCTTGGTTAGTCGCGCGACGAGGCACACTGCATAAGAGCGGCGGGAGCAAGCGACCAAGGCGATGAGGAACGTCTTTTTTTTTTTAAATTCATAAACCGAGTGGTGCGACGGGGGGCAGTGAGAAATCTACGTCTCTCGTCACTTACTTTCGTCGCTCGCTAAATCGCTTACATGCGGTTCAGCCTTAAGTGTTTTTTCGACAAGTTGTTTTCATAATCGTGTTTTCAAGCACGAGTTTTAAGGTGTTAACCTTTGTATATCTTGTTCGCGGTATGACATCTATGTTAGAAATGTAGTATGAAATCTGAGCACACAGTTTTAAGACTCGTGTAGCAACATCCCATTGAGCGCTGGCGCCATCTCGTTTGTGCTGCATGCGTAAAGCACGCCGTGCTTTTTGCATGAAGTCATCGTGTCTTGTTCAAGGAAGGGTGAACAACGCGCTTAAACTCCCTGTTGGAGGCAACACTGCACAATAACTCAGCGTTGTACAAACGACTGATTGGTAAATTATGGCATCCTTGTACAGAAAAGTTACGGCGCGACGGTGGATTTCTTAAAAATACGCTTTTGTATGAATGGTTAGTGTAATAAGCTAAGTATGCTTTTCTTTATACAAGTATATACCTAAGCACTTTTCAGAACTTAGCAAAAAAAAAAAACGCAACTAAAGGTTATTGGCGTATAAAAGTGAATATATAGAGAGAAAAAAAACAGAGTAAAAGCATATATTCTAGCTTCTCGTAGGTTTGCAGCTTTATCAGATGAATAAGCATTTGAGGAAATAATAAGCCCACTTCGGAATAAATTTTTTTTGTGTCTTCTGTTTGATATACTATGACCCTTTGATAATATATTACCAAAAATAACGCGTTGTCTAGGCTTACCAAAGTCAATATGGAAGTCGTTCACTTCAATTAAAAAATAACTGGTGCGAGACAGCCCATTTAATCATGTAACCCAGGACACATCTAAATGCACGGGGGTGATGGAAACAGAAGCCGTATGAGGGTTCTTAATTCAACATCCTCCAGCGACGTAAAAATT